CCATGAAAATTCCTTCATCCATTCCTTAAGCATTAATGCGAATCACACATCTCAGGCCCTCGCCCGCAAGCATAAACTCGAATGCTTTGTTGATCTCAGAGAATGGAACAGAGTGAGCGATGAATTTATCTAATTCAAGTTCCTGCAAACATCAAATGCATCTCATTGTCACTGTTTCTTTCCACTCCGTTTATAAATTAAATGTTACATCATACAGGGAGATAACCTCACGTTGTTCATGTATTTCTCTACTACCCTTATTTCCTCGGATACTGAACAGGGGCCGAAGAAAATAGATACATGTTGGGCCATGGCCCCAAAAAATTTGAAAAATTATAACTTAGATCCTTAAAAACTTTTTAATAAAACTTTAATTTGTTCTTCACAATATTTTTAGAAATTTAGATTAATGTAACACCACATACCGATGCGGGTGGCCTGATCCAATTTGAAGTGTCACATCAGGATCACCAGAGCGACCCACAAAATAAAAATCCAAGAAATAAAATTTCACCAAACAAATTTTTAAACCATAAAACAATTTCAAAATAAAAATATAATTTCAGAAATTGTTCAGACAATAAGGCATAATTCAATAGTACATAATTTAAAAACAAGTTTTAGACTCGAATATAAACAAATGTGACCTACATGCCCCCTAATTCTATGTGCATCGTATTCCCTTAACTGATGTCAATAATTGTACATGATCAATTCTTTTTAACATGAAATGGTAAATAAAAGAATGAACTTTGGGAAAGTTCATTAATACAGAACTACCAAATGATGCTAAAGACATGCATATAAGTAAAGCATGAAATTTTCTTAGTGATATAGACATCTACAGATTCTAGTGAATTGAAATTTCATTAATTGATTTTTCACGTAACATTCAAGAAGACTATAGTCCAAAGGATCACAGAGGAAGAAAGATTCAAGAATTAGGCGTAATAACCCAAATTTTAGTTAGTGACTAAAATGTAAATTTTGAAATTTTGGTAGTTAAAGTATAAATATTGTAAAAGCTCAGGGACCAAAAATATAATTTAAAAATTATATATTTTATCCGGTAAATGTATAGTTTGTCCTAAAACAATAATTTTTGTGGAAATTGGAATTTTGATACGGTATTTGTGTTAAAAAGCTATAAAGTAGTAAAGTCCGGTATAGAATTGTATAATCAGATCGAACTTGAATTTCACAAATTTTGAAGATGCTAGATAAAGGTTAGAAATATTATTTGCGTATCTTAGATCAGAGAAATTTAGCATGGAACAGTGGAATAGAAGTCAATTTTTCAGATTTGGCCGAAAATTGAGAAATTTAGTGACTAAAATGTAATTTTGAAAATTGCATGGCCAAATTAGAAAGTCAATGCCAAATTGGTTCATATTTGACTATAGAATATTTTAATAGAAGATATTGCAATAGAATTTGGTAATTATCAATATTCATTAATGGCAATTTTGGGATTTCTCATTAATTGAATTTTAAATTCAATTATATTAAAGTTAAGCCAGGTGTACTTGATGATAATTATAGAAAATTCAAAACTTCATCATCTTCATCAAGATTTGGTCGAAAATCCCATACCTAGGTAAGGTAAATTTTAGTTTGATGTTTAAAGCTAAATGATTGATTTTTGGATTAAACTATTAGATAGTGAATTAATCTACATGAAATTCTCTTTCATTTGATATAAAAATAACATGGAGAACATGCTTGTATTATGAGATTGGATAGGGTTGATGAAGGGCATGTTTGATTTTGAAGATTTGATGAAAGATTTATTATGTTATTGGTGTTGTAGATTAATTCTAAAGCATGTGTGATAATTAAAATTATGTGTAGAAGCCTATATGAAATTCAACTATGCTAGGGTTTATGGAGGATGATTGGATTTTGGTTTAATTTAACGCTGTGATGATTGGAATAGAATGAATTTGATGCAACGAGGTTGAATTCATGCTTGAAATTGAATGAAAAGTTTAACCTATGTACTTTGAAAGGTTCAACAATAAGGAAGAAAATTAGGGAAAATATTGAAAAAATTCCTATGGTCAAGAATTGATATTAGACGTATTCTACATGCTTTGGAGATTGAATTGGATCAATTTGGAACCTTGGGATAGCAAAAGGACTATTTTTCAAGTTTTGAGAATTGTGAGACATTGATGCATAAATGTGTAAATTAGGGTGTTCAATGTTGAATTTTTAATTATGGAATATTGGATTTTAAGTTAGATTAATGATTTGGGACCATAGTGCAAATTTTGAGAAATTAGTAGTGGAAATAGTCTCAAAAGTGGGGACTTAATTGTGTGTTTTTAAATGTGATGGTATTATTTTAGTATGATGCTACAATGTTGGAAATTTTTATTTGAATGTTGATTTTTAAGTTTAAAAAATGGTTTGGGATCAAATTGCAAGTTTGCTAAGGTCGATGGTTGAATTCGAAAATACTAAGAAAATTGAGGATGAAATTGCAAGTTTTTAAATGTTGAAGTATTGGATTGAGTATATCATTTATGTTCTGGAAATTTTAGTAATTGATAAGGAGTAAGTAAATTGACAAAGGACTATTGTGGATTAAATGGAAAAGTTTATGTGAATTCTAACATGAATTCATAAATTAGAGACTTAAATACAAGGATTGTAAAAGTTGAAGGGTTGATGGTAGAAATGAATATTTATGGAATTAAATGACTATTTTGAGAAGTTTAAAGTTATGATGGCATTATGGTGTAGTTTTATATCCATTTAGTATTGATTTTTATTTTATAGAATTTTATGTTATTTAGATTATGTTAGTATAATGCTAACATATAGTTTGAATATCTTGTGTTATTATATGATGTTGTTAGACCACGATAAACCTAACGATCCAAGTGACCCGAAAGGAAAGGATAAAGCACGTGAGTAAAAGAGTATCATATAAAGGTTCAGTAGTTAAGCAAAGCTAAGTGCGATTTATTTATTTAATTATTTTGATCGAGGAAAACTTGTGATAAATCAACCTTATGTTTTTTATTTAATGATGAATTCTATTTTAGTTCTATATTATTTCCATAATGTTTATATAAAAGTTTTATGAATGATTTAGGGTATGAACTGCACAAGTTATGTTTTTATGATGATGAATTAAAAATGATTATGATTTTGAAATGTTGTTTATTAAATGATTATGATGTGATCTGAAAGTTCATTGTATGTTGCATTGAGAGTCGTAGGTACACTTGGCATGCCATTAAGTTGAGGAAAGTAAAGTAAAGTTATGGTACATTCGTGTATATTATGATTGACACCATTGGTGCATATGATAGGATTTGCATTTGGAATGCATCCTATAATGATGATGATGATAAGCACTGTTGGTGCTCAGTGCGCACATGATGTTCGAATCACGTACCTCGTATTCTCTTAAATATACATTGGGCTATACAATTGAAACATGGAAGTTATGGAATATGTTTGAATAGAAAGAAATATGAAATGATTATATTATTTGATAATGTTTATCTTGATTTTGATAAAATCATGAGATAATAATGATATTCAAGTTTATGATGAAGAAATTGACTTAAATAGTCGGTTTGAAAGTTTAATGTTTTATTTAAATTATTTATAATGTTTTATTGTATTTATTATATTTTATATTTTATTTCACCTAGAGTTTTACTGCCTCATTAAGTTTTACTTAGTGCGTGATGATTTTCATGCGTAGGTTTAAAAAAAGGATATGACGTAAAGTGAGGAGCCTCTCCACCATTTTTTTGGAGATATTCCTTATTATCAGTATCAGTAATATATTTCTGATGTTTTTTTTTGACTTTAGTGGCATGTATAATTATATCAGTAGTTTGCTTTATCGAGTTTATTTTAAATAGTCTGTAATAGTAAACTATGACCATTTATTTTAACTAGTTTTAGTTATATTCATATTTATGAATGAGTAGTGTATATATATATATATATATATATATTTTAAATTTTTTTAATTAAGTAGTGTGTTGGCAGTTTTATATAGGTTATGAAATAGAATTACAAAAGCTTTAAAGTTAATAAAAGGATGTTTTATAATGAAAACAAATTAAGCATTTATGTTCAACGGAAGTATGTAATGTTAATGTAACATCTTTAACTCGTATTTCGAGACGTATAATTGTTATGAGTGTTACATAAGGCCGGACAATCTATTGTGTTCCATCATGGTAGAAGTGTCGAGATAGTTTAAAACAGTAGTTTACTCACAATTTAACAATGTTTTATTATGGAATTTTATTAGTTGTTTTATTACATATTATATATAATGTGCTTTCAATTATGGATTGGAGTCTAGAATGGCTTAGAGGCACATTATGGAGAAGACATTTTTCTCAGCTTATATAATGTTAATCGATTGAAACAAATTTGCTTAAATCATTATAAAGATGAAAAGTGGAAATGCAATAATTTCTCTTTATCAAAATAGGATAAGTACATATTCTTTAGCAACTATTATTTGGGGATTGAATTTATATATTTAGAAACTTCAATATTGTATCCCCCGAGAGTACAAATGATTGTTCATTCAATATTTTCCACAAAAGGTGAGGTTAATTTCATGGTCGATATGATCACTTAAAGATGTAAATATAACTCGAATTTATACCGAATACATATCGGTATTGAATATGTGTCTAGATGGTATCAATGCGGTGACTTTTGAACTTTGTAGGTAAAGAAAGCGAAACTTTTCGGCAAAATTGCAGACATAATTATTATGGGTTCAAGACTTTGTCCACAAAAATCCCATGTTGTTGTTTCAAATGGTTTGATAATGGGCAAAGCCAAAAACAAAGGAACAACCAATGCTTCCTTTGTTGTTTTCAAGCTTCAAATTTAAGCCAATGTGGTATTGTCTTTGATTTCATTCATGAAGTGGCAATAGGCAAAACTGATGATTTTGCCTTGTTTTTTCTTGAGTCAAACATGCTTGGTTGCACCATCTTTTTACCCACCCACAACATGAACAATAAGTCTTCTAATTTAATCATATCTCATCATAATTCCCTTCCTTTCCTTTTTTTTTCTTTCGGCTACCACTAGTCTATGGCATGAGAAAACCCTAATATATATCAACCTTTTCAAACATTTTCAGATTACCCTATTATTTCCCCCTTTATAAAGATATAGAAATATATAAATTTTTAGGGAATTTCGGTCCAGCTAAAGCATACAGTATTAGGGGTACATCGAACTTCATTTATTGAGATTGCACTCTTCTTCTTCTTCTGCTTCAGTAGATCATATGCCTAAAAGTATGTAATACAGAAGGGTGACAGGCAATGATACCAACATCCCAAAGATAACCCTGCAAGATTATTTTGTACATTAGTATGTATGCAACGTCAACATCCTACATTTTATATTAAGAAAACCCTAAAATACAGCATGAAAACGAAACATCAGAGGAAAATATGTTGTTGTTTTAATTTACCCTGTACTCAATATGTCGGGATGTAAGCCGTATTCCCTTGCAAAGACGAAAGGTACGATGCCTTGGGGAAGGGCCGCCTGAGATTAAACATTTCAGATTCGAAACATGTTCCGATGACAAGCCTGAATCAGTGGTCCCTATCTACCATGTAACAGAAAAGACATTCAATGATGATATTTTTTTTTACCTGTACGATGGCAGCATGTAGTTTTTTCCCTCTCAATCCCAGTGCTACCGACGCTGTGGACATTATTATAGGGCCGCATAGGAAACGAATCACCATCCCCATTGTTGCTCTTTTTGTTCCACATGCAATAATCCTTGGCTGAAGTGCCATGAACAACCCTATATATACATACAATCGAAACTATAAGTTTGAGTTCGAGTTGGTATAGGCCGCAAAATGATAGATCCGAATTACACATAACGAAAATCCGAATGGTACATTACCTAAACTGAACATCGCCATCCCGAGGCCGGCATCCGAAATTATTTTTATCGAGTACTTCACTATACTCGGCATCCCCACATTCCACCTACATGAATCCATGAGATTAAATTATTTTTAAGCATATTTAAGTAAATAATCCTTAAGATACTTGTCGATTGGTAAAGTGAACAACATCTGATGAAGATGATAGTGGTGATGGTGATTCTGGTAGTGTTGGTCTGATCTTTTTGGTGAAGAAGGTTATACGTACTTTTACTCTCAATCAACACATGTCCCGAATATTATAAATAAGGAGAGTAAGGATCCGTATAACTTTCATCACTAAAAAGACCAAACTAACACTATAAGAACCACCATTACCACTATTATTTTCACTTGTTGTTGACCTTACCAGTCAAAAATACTTGAAGCTCACTTGAAGGAGATAAGAGACCAAAGAAGCCCTAAGATACTGGAGTAAGTATTAGGGTTTCTAGAGAGCTTTCTTCCAACGACAATCAAAATGAGTCTTAGCATCACAATGGCCTTTGGCATAGCTTGTTTGCTCATCTCTTCAGTTTCTTTTCCATCTCCATTACTCTCCTCCATTGTTATCTTGGTGTTGTCTCTAAAGCTAATTTCCTTCTCTACAAAAAATAATAATTTATTAATTAATTAATAGAAAAACAATAACAATGTAATTTAAATAAATTTGTTTATGTTTGAGTAACAAGAAATTAAACTATTGAAAATTGGGTTAAAACAAGTTTGATGGTGTTGATTACCATGCCAAAATTCTATTTGATTACTAGCAATAATAGCATATTGTCTTCCCTCTTATCATTACACACGTGCTCTATGCTAATGATGTCGACTATCAAGTAAAGATCTGACTTTTCAATAAAGAAATAAATATACAAATTATAATTATATAGGTTACTTTTGTAATAGTGGTAGGTGGGGTACAACTTGTCTAATCATGCTTATAAATCCCAATCACAAAATAAAAAGGAATTTTATAAAAATCATAATGGTTTATAGTTTAGCTTTTGCATTCAAAAGTTCCATAAATATAATTTTATTTATAATATCAAAATCAGACATGTTTCTCGACAGTTGTGCCTGTAGTTTTGTTAGACAGGACGTACATGTACTCCTGTAAAATCTGTATGTCACTTTGATGTTTCTTTTTCCCTTTTCTCATATCTAAGGCAATTATTTTCAATAGTACAATACTTGTTGCGACAAGAGTAGTAAGACAATTCTTGGAACAAAGCTTATTTTGTTGTTATTAGATGTTTGATTTCGTGACAAGAATCATTTACTGTCTTTTTATTGAATTTAATTGTAAATGCATTAGGTTAAATAAAATATAATTATTTATCTGTTTCTCAATAACGAAAACTAAACTTTTGATTTTACCGAAATATTATGTATTTTTTATAAAAAAATTTACAGTGATTTTCTATGTTAAATTTTTTTTAACAATATTATTTATACTTATATGTAAATTTTATAAAATAGGAAATATAAAAAATATATATCTTAATACTATAAGTTTTTGCATGCACTTACCACCAAGGTCTTTGAAACCCTGCCTATTATCACCCCCACCACCATCTTGACACTCCCAAACCATTTTAGTAGGAACAATCGGGGACGGCTGCCAGAAAACTTTACCACCCGCCACGGGAGACCTCATCCATATTGGCGTATTCCCCGAAGCTGCCGTGATCACATCCATTTCGTTAAAATTAGAAGCCCTCGGTGTCGGTTGCAAAGAGTAAGCATCCGACGAAGCGTACCCGGATAAACGCGGGCTAACGGCACGGTAACCGAACCCCAAGTCGCCGTTACCAAAAACAATTTCGTTATTATTCGGTCTGCCAGGGGTGTTAATGGAGAATATTTCGGCGTTAGAAAGATTGGATGCTCTAGGGGTGAGACATATGGAGGACGATAGAGCCGAGTCCGGAGCCGATGATGTGGACCGCCTGATACGAACACGAATACGACCATTATTGTCGGTTTCGGATTCTGTACGGAGAGGATGACCGTCCAGTGAGATGACGTCATTGTCGAGCTCGAATTTAGAAATGGTGGCAGCCGTAGGGCCTGGGAACTGAGTTTTGATTAAGAGTTTCGCTGCCCGGTATTCGAAGAGGAAGAGCAATAGTGTATACCTGCATCCAAAACGATGCCGTAAGATTGCCTTCATTTGGAAATCCTCTTTATTTTGAAATTATGATTAATGGTCATTTAATCATATTGTTTTCATTTGGATAAATTATCGCTGTTTTTTTATTATCAATTTCAATATGATTGTAAATATTATTCTAATTCAGGTTAAATTATGTATTATGAAATCATATATATATAAACAATTAACATGACATTAGACATAAATATTTTAAGAAAAATGAAGAATTTGAATAATACGAAGAATAACGTAATAAAAACATACCATATGATGCATTGAAGAACAACGAGTTGAACCATGAGACTCTGAGTGAAATCACCATACATGGCATTAAGCAAAGGGATGCCCATGACGAGAGTGTTGGGCAAAGTGGCGACGGAGAAGAGAGTGATGAGCCAATCGAGCGATCCGCCGGGGAAGAAGATCGCCCAAATCGAGAGCAAAGCAAGGACCAACACCTTCGACACGGTGTCGGCCATGATAAACATGGTGTCCATTTGGTACGGGTTGTTCTGAGCTATGAAGTGGAAAGACAACACCGGAACAGCGAACACGGCAACGAACCGGTTGATCCCCGAACACTGCTCCGGGCTGAATATCCGCCACCATTTCACCGAACCGTATGCCACTATCATTGCGAAATACAGTGGAACCATTGCACACATCACCTTGTAAAAATCACCCCCTGTTATCATTTTTCAGGAACAAGTTGAATATTGAAATGGGAAAAGGTTTGTTATATAGAAGATTAATGGACAAATTTGTCCCTTGAATTCTTGCTAATTTACTTTGCGAGGTACTGTGGTGGATAGCGGGAATTACGGTTCCTAATCTAATGATTAACTTTTTAATATGAATTTTAGTGCATGAGTTTAAGAACTATATATCTTTATATTTTGACGCTTATGTATATTATGAATTAATTATTGATGTGTATTAATAGAAAAAAAAGTTTCGAACAAAATATAATAGTAAATAAAGTCTATCGAATATAAATCATATGATAATATCTGTTTGATTAACTTATAATTTTGTTTATTCTATTATGTTCTAATTTAATATTTATTTATTTCTATATTTATCGATTGATTTTTTTATTAAATTAAGGTGATTACAAAGTAGTATCTATTCTAAATACTCTCAACCGTTTGAAGCTCAATCACATTGCTTCAGTCGTTGGTGCTCAAACCTGTGACCTCTAGGAAAAACAACAATTCTTTTAACAACTGAGATAAGTTGGTTCGTGCATTTATCAATTGAATTTAACTTAATTGACGTTCTTATCGAAATATTATATAAGAAGATATAAGATTAACGTTTAGAGATACCCTCAAATTTAAATATGGTGTGAAATTGTGACAAACTAACAATTAAAATGTTATATTAGGATTTTTTTTATATTTAAATTCACATTTGATATTCTTTTAAACATATTTTTATCGATAAGAGTTTTATATCAGTATTTTAAAAATTAACAGTGTTAAATATTTAAATTAACTAATAATATTAAAAAATGAAAAGGTTAAATTATCTAAATCAAAGTATGAGAGGAAAATCTCCTGAGATGATCAACAATATCATTCGGATGGAAGGGTTCCATTTAGAATAGATTGTTTACTTTAAACCTTGTACTCAACCAAAAAAAGTATTAGAGGAAAATCTTATATTTGATTTTGCTATATGCACAGATGATTAAGGCTGAGATAAGAAAAACAATTAGGTTTGGATATAAATTTTGGAAAAATTATTTTATTTTAATTTTAAAGTAACAATTACATATAATATATATTCACTTTAAATCAAATATTGAGCTATAACTATACTTTGTGAAGTGGGCTTTTCACTACAAAATAAACCAAGTTTGCAAATACAATTTAATTAGAGCTCCTTTTAGACTTTAAATTTAATTATTTTTATATTTTAATTTCGGTCTACAGAATAATAACGGTCGAATATGTTAAGTTAAATTTATTATTAATTATTATGTTATAAGCAAGTTATAAATTTAATTATAACGGGTTGGTTCAAGTGATAAGCAACTTAATAACACTTAAGTAAGGTCTCAAATTCGAGTCCCGTGTATGCAGAAAATCTCTGTTGGAAGACTCACCCACCAAAGCTAGGTGTGCGATCCTGGTTGATACAAATTAGTCAAGGCGAAATCTTGGAATGGAGGGCAAGAAAAAAGTTATAAATTTAATTTATTTTCTTCTATTTGATATTTCTAATAAATTAATTTTAGGATAAATTACGCATTTAATATGTAAACTATTAGTTTTAGTCCATTTTTGTACCTAAACTTTTAATTTTTTCAAATTCATACCTAACATTTAATTTTTTGTTTCATTTTAATACTAAAATGAACTAAAACTAATCATTTAGGTACTAAACATGTAATGTACCCTTAATTTTAATACAAAAATGTTGTGGGGCCTCATATGACATACAGGGGTTAAGGTCTTGTTGATTTGAATTTTGTCTGTATACTTCTAGGGCTTTGTCAAACTGCTTTCAACTGGTTATGGGTTTCATTTAAGCATCGACGGATCGAATGGACGATTGGAGACAATTATCTTCACTGAAAAATTTAAATTGTGATATATTTTAGATATTTTTTATATTTTTTATTAATAATTATCTATTTTCGTTTCCTCTTAAAATTTTAAAAATCCACCTTCTAACACGTAAAATTTTACGAGCATCCCTGAATTTAAGTATAGAGCTGAGTAACTATAACTAAGAGGGTCTCACCATACAAGAATGAATTATATACAGAAACCTACTTGCTAGTCGTTGAATTACTTGATTTAAAATTGGGTCTCGTGCGTAGGCGCAAGGGAGCAAATCAAAGCCTGTCGAACCCATTGGAGTTGGTGGTGCACCCACACAATGTGGGCAATGCGAATGTCTTATTTGGTCAGGCTCTTCAGGGGCGCCAATAGATAGTTTACTCACTACGAATTAAATATTTAGCTAAAATGTGAAATATCTTTTCGAATATTCTGAATTTAAAAGGATATTATATTATTTCCTTTTAATTAGAATATTCATATGGTATGACTTGCAATTCATGAATATATTCTAATTAAACCAGTATTAATTGATTACTTCTGATTTTATTTTGATACTAATTAATAGTTTGACTTTTTAGAAGATATTGTTTCTAATTCTCCTTCTATGTGAAACACTATAACTATCGTGTAAACCTGCTAGGTTTTACACAATTGAAAACAAATTCTTTTCCTCTTTTATTGTTTTCGATTATAGTCTCTAGCAAGATTCGGTCCATGATTTCGTAAGTTGTGCTGTTGTGTGCTACTCATATCGTTGTTGTATCATAGGAGACATACGACAAAAACATCTCGTGCACTAAGGAGTGGTCGAAAATATGTCTTAAGGAAATTGCGTAGTTGCAGGTCTCAACTCGTTTTTAGTTTATTATTTAGGTTTTTTACTCTAAAATGTATCTCTTCTATTACTAATAAAATTTTTATTTTATTGTTGTCTCGTATTGTTATTTGTAACAATGTCAACTCCAAACCAATTTGTTTTTCTGAAATCAAATTTCACGCTTAAACTTTTAAAATATGTTTTAAGTCAAGATTAGTCTCATCCCATGATCGTCCCGAAATGCTTAAAGATCGTACAAAGGTATAAAAACACTATTCAAAAAAAATAAAGCAAAAACAATCAAAATAATTCAAATAGTTTGATTCTAGATAAAAAAAAATCAATTGCTATATATTTTAATTCGGACTCGTTTGGGTATACTATTGACTTTTTTTTTCCTCAGTAAGAACTGCAATCATGAAATGCACTAGGGAAAATAAAAATACCCATTATATATTGCCACCATCCGACTTAAACACTGCTTCGACATCCCACACTAATTACCAAGGTTGTTGAGAATCCCCATTTTATCTGTAAAATCTTTTCCTAATAAAAAAAAATAAAATAAAAATATTTTTGGAAAATGCATATGTTCATATATGAAGAGAAGAAACTAATTAATTAATTTTTGCACAATACTTAAATTTAATATATTGACTTTTAATTAGAAGATATTAAGTGTTTAAATGCATTTAAATTTACATAATTCATATTTTAATATTAAATATATCGATCGAGTTGAGATTCAATTAGTATAAAATATGACTCATTATTTATCCAAATGAGATAGTAAATCATACTTTTTTTCCTTTGTTTTCTCCAGTTTCTTTCCTTTATTTTCTTTTCAATCCAAACAGAGTTTTCAATATTAAGGGCACACATTACTCGGCAATTCAGGTAGATGTTTTGGTGAAACGTCAAATTATATTTGATGAAGTGGAACGTGGGACCATATATATCGAGGCATTATTCATATTGAAACACACTATGTTGAAACCTGATCATTCTGCTTATTGAATCATATATATAGCAATCGTGTACCCAGCATGCATGTTCTCATGTTTCACATAATTCTATCTTTTCTGTCGGAGGACAAAATAAGTTCGCAATTTCACACTATACAAGTAAAATGCTATTAATAAAAAAAAGTAAAAACACATGAAAATAATTAAAATATTATACAACATAAAAAATTAATTTAAGACTTAATCAAAAAATAATTGTCCAAATTATATTTCTCATTCACTTTAGGTAGTTGAAGAGTGTTTTGTCAAGGTAGGTGCTTAATATTTTTCTATGTTATCATTTTAAGTGTTTGACATGTTACAACCGTTAAAAACTTTGTCAACTATTCAAAATATGGCATATTTCATATTTGTATTTTTTCTGATTATTTTTAGAAAACTTAAAGTTATTAATTTTAAAAAAGCACAAGTTTTTTAAAACCTTAAAAAAACTCAAACTCATAAAATCTCTAATTCACTACAAGAAATTTCTATTATTGTGACAAATTTAATTTTTTCAAAATTATTTTTGTCACTACTAATAATTTTTTGTGACAAAATAAATAAGCGTCACATTAAATTAGAAAAACATATACAATTATGAGAAAAATTAAAATCATTTTAATATTTTGTCACAATTAGCAAAATTGTGTAGCATATGGTGACAAAATATATTTTGTTACCATTTTTTGTCACAAATATTTCCTTCATTTTTTTTAGCGCAAAAAAATGATATAGTGACAAGTTTTGTGACTATATGTTTAGTAATTATGACAAGAACAATTGTCGCAATGAATAATGAGATTCAATTTTTTTATGACAAGTTTTGTTTGTAGTTATATATTTTAATTATAGTGACAAAATGTATAGTTACAAATCTTTTTCTCCGGTTTTTGGCGCAAAAACAAAAGTTATAGAGTAACATGTTTTGTAACTATAACTTATAATTATTGTTACTGAAAAATTATCACAACAAATATTGAGATTCAATTTTTTCGTGACAAATTATGTTTGTAGTTATAAATTTTAATTGTAGTGACAAAATCTATAGTCACAAATGTTTTCCTCCAATTTTTGGCGCAAAAACAAAAGTTACAGAGTGACATGTTTTGTAACTATAACTTATAGTTATTATTATAAAAAATATTATCACAACAAATATTGAGATTTAAATTTTTGGTGGAAAATTATGTTTTTAGTTATATATTTTAATTATAGTGAGAAATATATTATCATAAATATTTCCTTTAATGTTTTTGGCACAAAAAGTTACTGAAAAATTTTGTAATTATAAACTTTAAT